AAGTCGCTCCCCATAGAATAACAAGTGCATTTTTAAGCTCTTCGCGAAATATCGTTTGCTATCTCACACTAAACACCAACTGTTATCACGGCCGACACGGAACTCGCAACAACCCACATAACGCTGTCCTTCGCCCCGTCATCGACGGGCGCGAGGCGGGCCGGTGGACAGCACCGGGGACACTCAGCCGCTGCCGGCTTGCCGCTCCGGAGGCGCCTCCTGACAAGCTCTCGCGTGGCCCGATCGTCCGCTCACCCACTCGCCTAGTCGCGCCGCGAGTTCTGCTCGCCCCCGACGCTCTCCAGACGCCGAGCAAGCGGCCGCCGCGCCGCCGATTGGCGCGTTGGTTAATCGTCGCGCCGGCGGCGCGGCGCTGGTGGCGGGGCGGGGGGTGGGTGGGAAGGTGGGGGGAGGCGCGACGCTCTCGACGCGAGAGACGCGCCTGTCCGGCAGCGCCGGCAGTGGGGAGGGGGAGGGGGGGGGGCGGAACGGAAGACTGGGTGACGGCAACAATGGGGAAGGCGGCGGCGGCAGTGCGCGAGACAACTGGGTCAGTGGACAGGGTGAAGGGGTTGGAGAGGAGGAGGCGGCAGTGTTGATCCCAGCGGCAGAAGGGGAGGGCTCGGTGATGGCCACCTGGGGAAGGCGGAGCGAAGCAGGAGGCCACTGGGTCGAAAGCGGTGAGGGAGATGGAGGCAAAGGCGGCAGTGTTTTTCGCGGCGAAGGAAACGGAAGATTGGACGGCGGTGACAAAGGGAAGACGACATCTGGAGACCATTTTGGGCCGGGTTTGTTTGGCTGGGATAGCAACTGGGACAACGAAGTAGGTAAAGGTAGCTGTAATGTAAATGCCTACAGCTGGATTGTCGTTGGTGGAGGAAGTTGCGCCGGAAATGGAGGGGTTGTTCGCGGTAGCGTGGTTCAGAGATAAATAGTGGTCAGAGATCATACTAGGGTGGCAGTGGTAATAGAAGTGGCGACGAATGAAATGTTGAAGGCACGTCAAAGACACCATTGACGATGACAAGGATGCAGGTTGGATGAAAAACGTACGATCTGGAATCTCCTTGAACTATGGGCCTGGCACGTTGAAATTACAGGATCCCTTTCTAAGCAGTCTTTCTTACTACATTCATACGGGAAATAGATTTGTTGTAAGTTTTGGTTATAGGAAAACTAAAATCAAAAGTAATGTATATTTTGATTTCTTCCATCAAGCCTACATCATTGACGTATAATTTAACTAGCGATAAACCTGTAACCTCTAAATATGTACCTAATAATTTAATACAACTAGAAAATTCGAGAAATGTTTATGGAAATGTTTTGTTTCTAAATCACATGCAATCTCGTCAAAAGAAATACGATAAGTATCCGAATGTAGACTTAATAAATCTGACTGGGGAAGAACTTCGACATGTCAATCAAATATTGGTCTTATCTCGTACCAACCATCTGTTCAGGTAAAAATATAATATTTATAAGCATACTAAGGAGTCCATTTCTTCTTCTCAAAAGAAGGGAGCTAAGTTTCGGGTGAAATAGGAAATAAGAGAAATATCGTGGTTTCATTTCCAACATAAAAGATTAAACTGTGAGTTGAAATTCTCAATTGTGCAGTCTAAACGGGCGGGTGAGGCCAAACAAACTTCGTCCAATTCCAGCAAATATCCCTGCTCGGAAGGCCTGGTCTGTGAGAACGGGCGTCTGTCAACGCACCCAAAAGGCAGAAGCCGCCGAGAATCGTAAAGATAACGAAGATGCATCTGTCATCGCGTTCCGAACTAGGTCGGAGTTCACGTAAATGAACGCACACAGGGGGCACTCAGCGCCTTCTGTAGCGAAGACTGCGCCTTCAAACGCCGCCGGCCGTGCAGTAAACACCGCGCAAATACAAAGGACGGTCTTTGCGACCCCACGCTTTTCAAAACAGTGGGAGCAAGCTGCGCCCTACACGCGCAGAGGTTCAAAACACTTTGAGAAACTAGCTCGTAAACGCTCCTCCCGAAAGCCTTTTCTACTTAATGGATCCGCCTCCGTTGACCTGAGTGTTAAGTCTAAGTATATGAAGATAAAACACACTGTAAGATGAAGTTTATCTCTAGTAGGAAAATTGAAAATATTCAAGAATTTGATAACAGTTACCCTTTCATTGCGGAGGACAACCACGAAAAATTTGGTACGTTACAGAAATTTCTATTTTTAGATCACTTTTTCTGAATAAAATGTATCATTATTATGTTGCACTTAATTTGTTTTTTTGCAAAAGTATAAGCTTACACAACTTAAGTAATCTGCACATCATAACAGCTTGCTTTTAAGAAATGAAGAATTATTTCAGAAAACTGAACTATAAGAATCTAGTTTGCTCTAAGGGCAGGTGTTAAACTGAAGATAACAATTATTCGCTTAAATTATTTTCAATACTTTCTAATTATTGAAAAATTAAAAAGTAGTTTGTAAATATGTAATTTATGTTTCTTAATTATCACATTAGATTTTGTTCCGACATTTAATCATTTGTGTAATACATCATATATTTTTGAATATCACTTTATTTCTAACCATTTTGTACTTTTTGTTTTGACATTTTTTTTCATTTGGACGACTGTAATTGGAATTTTAATAAAGTAATTTGTACATAGGCTAGAATGTCACTAAGATATTTTTGTGAATGCATTCAACTTGGCTATTCCATTAATGAGTCTCATTTATTCAATTTTGTCTCTTCGACATTTAAACTTCAAAGCCTGAAACTGTATGTTCATGTTTATTTCTAGTACATACGAAGTTTTATTTAATAGAATTCATTGTTTAATATTCGCATTATGTTCGTTTATTCATAATTTCGAAGTGTTTCTACAACTCACAGCGACTTATTTTTCAACTTCTTATCAAAACTAATCAACAGTGAAACTATGAGGCTCATCATCATCATCATCATGACCATATTATTATTATTATTATTATTATTATTATTATTATTATTATTATTATTATTATTATTATTATTTCGTAACGAGCCCCGTTCACAGCTGGAAGTGCAGTGTGTCCAGAGGGGAAGAGGGCAGCGTGGAGTCCCTCATGAAATGCGCGCGGAGGACCTGAAATAGGAGGGCGCGGGCGTCCCCTGCGCTGACGCAGGGGAACGCTATGTCGCGTGGAGGACGAGTGGGCGCCGCGCCAGGGCAGCGGCAGCGGCAGGGGCAGGCCAGGCATCCGGCGCGGCGCCGCTCGCAGCCCTGAGCCCGGCGATGTTCCTCTCCACTACTCGCCACGCGTACCTGCTGGAGCAGGCGGCAACGCAACGGATCGAAACGCGTTCTCGGGGATTATTTGCTGTCTCTAAGTATTTTATTCAAATAGACATTGGATCCAATATCACTTATTTTGAATATAGCGAACTTTGCTTGTGTTTACGTTCTTTATTGACATACATAAACCATTAAAGATATTGGAATTTCGACGTTTTCAAGATGTATCGGAGCTTGAGAAGTACACCTTGTGATTAAAACACGTTTGAAACAGCTTCTATAAACAAGAATAATTTGCACATTAGAGTAGGTGTGTATGCAAATCTATCAACTTCCTAGAGGGTTATGTATCCCTCAAAATTATTGGATATGTGATATAACAAGTGATACCGTACGCATTAATACTGAATGAATGACTTTTAAGTCAAGAAAGTAATCAACTGTAAACATAAAGTTAACCGACACCCACAACTCGATCAACATGAATTACTACTACGAAAACAAACACATGGGCGCTTAATCCACAAACTACAGCACATGAGAACGTAGACAACTTCACTTCTGCGTCTTGGGTCAACCGTTCAACACAACACAAAGCGCACGGCGAGTGCACGGGAACTGCCACAGCTAAAAATACCTTTGAGTGCCCCCTTGGATCTGCAACAGCACTCGACGCACGCGTCTCCAATCGCCGGATCCGCAGCCTGTGACGGCGGATTGCCGGAAGCGCCCGCCGCAAGGGAAGCACGTGTCCGTGCACGTGCGCGGCGGCGGCGGCGGCGGCGGCTGCAGCTGGCCCAGGCGCTCGAGCGCGCGTGCGGCGGAGACTGAAGGCGCGGCCGGGAGCCGTTGCCGCCGCCGCCGCCGCCTCAGCATTCTCCAGCGCGCGCTGGAGGCCTTCTGGCGCAACGGCCGCGGCGACGCTTGCCGCTTCCGCGCGCTCGCCGCCGACTACATTCGGCGCAAGCGGGAAACAAACGACGCTCTAGGGGCGCTGGGACTCGTCGTGATCTACGAGGGCATTTTGCGTTCGAGGTGGAGAGTAAGATTGTGTTCCATTGCGATTCATCACACTTGACTGTTAGCATGTAAGACCGTATTGTTGTTTGTAATACTAAAAGACGATGCCGAAAGTCTATCAAAATTTGAAATATGGAGCTATCACAGACCTCAGTAGTTTTGTCACACACAATGACACTATTTCACTGAGCACTGTAAGGTAGTCTGTTCCGTATCCAAGAACGTGAGAATTTCGGCGCCCAAATGTTGCTTGAAACCGATAGGTTCAGAACACATCGAAGAGTTTCAAAGTTTTCTTTGCAACTTATCTTCATTCATTCATTCCAGATATATGCTGGGTCATTTATCTCAACCGATATTTTAGGGTTAAGAAGTGTTCTCCTGCCATTCCATTTCTTCTTACGTAAATATTCACTTTCCTATCTTCTGAACATTGAAGCATTTAGGGCATTATCACGCCACAGAATTTTAGTATGCATGAATGCATAGATGCATGCCACTATTCTTATAGTTGCTGTCGATTCTTTCGTAGCACTCCTTTCGTTGCAAAGGTTTGGATTGGAAGATATATCACAAAATGAGGATACAAAAGCAAATACAACAATGCTCATTAACATAATAGAAATATTATAGTGTGATTTAAACTATATGAAAATACAGAATGTGAATAATCGAAAAATAAGCACTAAAAGCTAAAAGTTAATAAGATAATATAAAAGTCAATACTCACCGAAGGTCATTAAGTACTGGCAATAACTTGAGGCCTGTAAAATAATGCAAATACATTACAAAATAGAAAGCGATGTATGAAAACACTGAATATATCAAATCCAATACCTCCTGAAAGTTGATTTCAAATAGTTTCATAGGAACGCAAAAATATGAAAACATATTGTCTCCAATGTAATGAATAATGTTTAATAATAATGTTTGCCAAGTTAAAACAAGCTAGACGATTTTTGCAAGCAAGAAGGGTTGCAATACCAAGAACAAACAAACAGGCGATATTTCTGAATCTACTAATCGATTAATCGCTTCGTATTAAAAAGACATAAAATTTCAATATAAATATGTTCTATTTTATTAATTGGTGAAATCATCAATGAACATTCTCAAACTGCTTTAAATACACGAATTCCTAAAATTCAAATAACTTTAAAACACTAAATCATCCCACACGAATTTGGAAATGATATAAATGCCCCTAAATTGAGGTATGTGGGGAATTTCCTCCCCCAAACGGGAGATGCTAGTGGAACGATCTGGAGAGAAATCGCCCGATAACTGCCGCCTGGAGGGCCGCAACGAACGGCTGTAGATCAGCTCTATTTCTGGAGAGACTCGCCGTTCCGCCTCTGACGACTCGTCCTCGGCATCTAAACAGCGGCAGGAAAGCGCCGGTCAGCAAGCCCTTGCGAAGCGCTTATCAGAGAACATACTTCCGCTCTTTGCGAAGCTACTTAATGACTTTCATTAAATATAAGGAGGTACTCGGCTATTGACATACATATTTTATTTTTACAGTTAAAAATTACTTTGCAGCTAAAGAAACACAATTAAAGTTTCTTAGGAGTACTAACTTCGTTCTAAAACTACAATTTTACTTAAAAAAATTAAATAATATTTTTTTAAACATGGCAACAATAAGCAGGAAGAACAAATAAATGTCAACAGAGCGAAGACTAAGATGTGCAAGAACGATAAGGATGTATCGTAGAAGCGAAGAGTATCCTGATAATATTAAAGTCTAAAAGATCGCAAGGTTGAAAGGGATTCGGAAAAAGTAAGAGAATAAAATAAAGACGGTAAAGGATAAAAGAACTTTCAAAAAAGGAAAACGTTTTGAGGTGTGGATATCGAAACGTTGAAAATCCAACATACTGAAAGAAAAATAGAAATGGAAAAAATAATAAAGGGGAAAAATAAAGGTGTGAAAGCACGAAAACATTTATTTGAGTGTCAGAGAATAAAGTAAAAAATTGGAACGAAAACAAAAAATGAATGAAGTGAGTGACAACCGTTGATTAGGTGAAGTGATGGCGGAACACATTTGTTGCGCGCCTTCCTCTGAACCTGAGAACTTCATGGAACGCGAGACACGTGCCAGAGCCCAGCGCCTGAATGAGAAGCAGGAGGAGTCAAGGTTGCCCGCACAACAGTTAAGTTTGCCGGGTTGCATATGTTGCAGGCGTTCTTCACAGGCACTTTCGAGTGGGCGCACGCTGTAAGCTTGTGGCTTTTAGGCTCGTAATCACTTCCGGTTCGACACTTGCTATTCGTGTATATTTAAAACAGTATCATGTTTCTATTAGTAGAAAGTTTTGATACCGGTGAATTTTTGGACTACGTCGGAATGTCATAAGGAAAAAAGTAAATCATTGTAATAATTGACATTTATCATTGAAAATTTCATATCGTACACATTACTAGTCTATTTTAAAATTAGCCAATTTCATTTTTAAATCGTTACTGCAATACAAAGTTATTAAGGGATTTAAAAGAGATTGCAGAAGGCCAAATAGTGTAGCAGAGGGAAAGGCGATGTGAATCACTTACCGATGAATTCATTTCGAATTCCGATGCGCGCTTTGAGCTGCGGTGTGGAGATGATGAGGCAATTGATGAACGCCACCAGCGCCGTCTGGTAGTCGACGGCGGAGGCATGCCGCAGCTCCGACACCACCACCTGCAGCCGGTAGCGCTCGCCCTTCAGCTCCTGGGAGACAAAGGCCGCATGGCGTTTCCGAAACGGTTTCAGAAGATATTTTAGTCTGACCTAATAGAAAATGGTTAAATAGAAATAAAGTTTTGTTAGTAAGTGATGGAAAAAGTTTGTGTTAAAAATCACATCAGCTATAAATGGATATTACTCACTCAGATAACCCAATTACTTCAATGTGAATATTTTTTCGGTAATTACTTGACTGTCCTGGAGACACTGTATCATCATAGGCACGAGGCAAGACGCGAAATCTTCCAGACAGTCAAGTAATTACTGACTTCGGCCGCGCACGCCTATGAACTCAATAGTTTTTCGGTTTTTTACATTATATTGCATTCATATGCTTTTTGTAAACAATTTGAAAGGCTATGTGCCAGGATTAAAATAAAATAGAATTGACACAAACTAAAAGCTCCGACAAACCGCCGCAGCAAACGTTTTGCATCACGTGTTGCCTTCTGAGCACGTTCAGACTTGCGCTGAGGGCGAGTGATGCGGCACCGGATTGGCAGCGTTTAATCCGCGGCGAATTTTGTTACGCAGTCGGACGCGTTTCGACCGCTGCCAATCAAGTTTCGTGGAAGTCGGCTCGCCTTAGGGAGCCTTCACTTCCCTCTGGGTCGAGTTCTTCTTGCCTTTGTTCACTGGATGAGGAAAACTGTCACCGAACGCTGAGACATAATTGACGCTGCGGAGTGAACAGCACCGCGTATTTCGCCGCCGCGTCTAGCAGGGAACTTTACGCTCCGCACCCACAGCGGATCTTCCCCGCCGGTCTGTGGGAGCCTGAACGCAGAATCTGAGTAAAGAATAGACTTCATGGAAATTGAATTAATTTTAGAATATCGCAGTCTTAACTTGAAAGTTTCATAGATCGTGTCTAGGAATCTATCTTCCGCAACAAACTTTGGTCTTCTTATAAAATCCTTGATTATTATAACAATGGTCATAACAGATAAAATGAAAAATGCACTATTTTGATTTTGTAAATGAAATAATATTGATGAGCGAGTGAACCAACTATCACAAGACGTTCTTTCCTCCTTACACGCGAAACGGAGTCGCCGTCGGCAACTGCACTGGTGGCAACATCACCACCGCATTAAAGACGCAGGCACGCTGATATGCCACATTGGCAAGACAGCTTCTTGCCAGGCCACTTCCTAAATTAAACCATTGGCGGTCGGCGAAAGAAAGGCGAGCGTGGCGAATGAATAGCCGAGCGCTGGCCGGGCGCGCGTCGGGGCGGCGGGGCGCGGCGAACGCACTTTGCGTCCGAGAGCGCTGCACTCGTGCATGGGAAACGGCGGCGGCGACGGCGGCGGCGTGGCGGCCATATTTAGGCTGCGGCGGCCGTCGCGGGCAGGTGGCGCGCGCTATTCTCGGCGCGGGGCGGCCGCGAAAGGCAGCGCCGGCTGGGAACCCGCGAGCGGCTCGCGACAGCCGCTGCGCAACGCTGGCCCCGCGCACTGCGCACGAACCTCGCGCAACGCACGCACAACGCGCCGAGGCCTACGGCGGCATCTGGCCGTTTGCGAGCGCAACACCATCCCCTCAACCATTTTTTTCTTCACAAAATACAGACAATTTTAGCGTTATTTTTAATAGTAAGAGATGGAAGAATGCTATCTGAAGCAATATTTTCTAATATCTGCACGGTCTGTTGATATTAAGAGGAGATAAATAAGACACTGTATTCTCTCCACGATCTACTTTAATGATAATACTTTTTCAGTGTGGCTGAGGCCATCTGGATGGTCATACGTCATGCTCAAATGACCACAAAAGTCACGCTGTCAGACGATACTTTGTGAAACTTCTCTTTTAATAAAATACTTCACTCCTGTCCCTAACTTACAATCTTTAGCTTCCTACAATTTTTCATTCACCATTTTATCATAACTTATTTCCAACCGAAGATCTGTAAATTATTTGAAAATCTATTATTTTCTCACTACCAAATAGGAGATCTATCATGTACGACGTTCATTCTCGTACTATTTCTCCCCCCAAAGTTGCATACTTTACTGCAAGGCAGCCACCGAGTTGCGCGGCCGCGTGCGTCGGGGCCAGTGTGCTTCGCAACGGCGGCGGAATGCGTCCTCGCCGCGCACGCAGAGCACGTGCCGCGCGCGCCGCCGCCCCGCGCGCCCGCTCGCCGCTTCTTATCGCCCGCCCCCTCTGGCCCCGCTCGCACTCCCCGCGACCACCGGTGCCGCTCCCCGGAATCCCTAGCCCATTACGCTGCCATGTGGCAACACTTGTCCTGTCCACCCACCTGCTACTCTCCTTTCCTGCGACGCTCTTTTTTCACTCTGTTTCTGGGCGAGGATCCTGCAATGATTTGTCACACTGCCTGGTTTGTTCGAGACATAATTTTAATTTTGTTTTTCAAGCATTTAATGAGAAATGAATTATTATGATTACGAGGGTTCAGATGTGACGAGGGTAACAGATCACGCCCACGCCACCCACTCATGTCGTACGTGGGAATCGAACCCGCAGACTCAGGCTCCCCATACTTGAAGGTTGCGTCATAGTCTTGGACACTATATCTCTGCGCTATCGAGGCGGCAGGCTCCCTTACACGCTTCTTTGTAAATCTGACGGCATACTATTTCATGAACATCATACACTGTGCGCTTTTTCTTATTAGCTTTTTAAATGTAGTTGTACGTTTTTTGTGTAAAAACTTCTTTGAAAAAGACCTCCCATTCGTTACCGTCATGGTGTCTCATAGGAGATTTTATTTTTCTTGCTGCATTCTTCCAGTGCAACTCGTTTGCACAACTTGTCTGCCCTATTTGTCTGATCAATTCGCCGCCAGCCCCAGACAACGATCCGCCCTGCGACTGTCAGACCCGGTTTTCGCTGACTCAGCAGCTTCACCACTCTCAGCTTCCCTGCTCATCCATTCCTACGTTGCTGATAGTGTGAAAGCACACTTAAAATATTACGAGAAAGAAAACATTAATCCAAACACTTATGATATTGTCTATCCAACAACAAAATCACATAATTGTTTTGATACAATATTTTAAATATTTTCGTTGTAAAAATTTGTTTTTCACAGGGTATTTGCATTACCTTAATGTATGACATTTCGTAAATTAATATCGGAAAAATCACATTTACCCATGCCTGACATTACATTCGATAAGAGAAAATAAAGTCTCCGACTCCGAATACCCTACTACAAGAAAATTACATACCTATTGTGTTTGGTTTCACACACGCGAGCTGAATAACACAATCATATGAAAGTATTAATACTAGCTTTTCCCGGAAATGTGTTACTTTTTTTTACAACATGAAAATCAACACTCAAATGCATTGCTCTCTACCGAATTTCAGAGTCTCAGTAAACATGTAACACCACCTAGCCTAAGGTATAGGGAGTAAGACATTTGTCGAAATGTAAACCTATCGAGAAGGCCCACAAATACAATATGAATAAATACTTCTAGATTTTCTAAAAGTATGATATGAAGGGCAACAAAAATAATGAAATTAAACTGTTTTAAACGAAAATTTGTTTAATTTAATATAAATAAACCTGAATAAATTAGTATAAAAGGTAGCACAACCATGATAGACACGATTTTTAATCCAACTGAGAAACAAGAAGGCCTATAGTCAGTGGCGAGCGGCAAATTAGCGCCACAATGTACTCGCACCAGCCGTGCAAGTCATCGAATCGCAATCGCTGCTCTGTTTTCTTGTATACTCTCTTGTGTTGCAAATATAATATACTGTGTGTACGAATCTTTAATGATATTCATCTTCCGAACGTCACTCAAGACTTCTTTAAATACAAGAGCGCGTGACTAGAACGCTGCACCGGGTGTGACAGAAAAGAGCGGCATGCGCGTAGACACATAGAGCGTCTATCTGCCAATGGCCCCCTGCACCTCGCCCCTCCTGTCGCTCCGGGGCGGAGCAGAGGCAGGTGCGCGGCGCGGGGCGACGCCGGTGACAGACGCGGCGGGGGCGGCGATTCAAACCGCGATAGCCGATCACAGGCGCCGCCGCCACCGCCGCCGCCCGCCGCGCGCCGTCGCGATGATATCGTTGCGCGATGACGTAGCGACACCTTCGGACGGAGCACTCGCGTCCGTGTCCGCCGTTCGATTCCTTCGCAGATCCACGACGCCCGCGCGACGGGTGGCGGCGGAACGAGTCACTACGGATTGCAGGGGCACACGTCGCCTAGGGATGGATGCAGCACGGACGCAGAGAAGAATTTGTTTATGACAACTCTTACTCACAACTCTTATTCACATTGTTATGTTTAAAACATGTCAATGGAATCGGAATAATACTATCGTTCGTTGTTGCAATAATACTATTGTTCGTTGTTGCTGACGCTATCTGTCAAGTTTAACTGAAGATATCAACGATACTAGAAAAGTCCTAAATAATGATAATGAGATGAAGGGGACAGAGTGTGAGGAGAGGGTGTGGGGAGGGGATTTGGGGAGGAGTCGTGAGGGACGTGCGGGGAACGTGGAGAGGGGAAGTGTGGAGGGGGCACGTGGAGTGGCCGTGGGTTGAGAAAGAGAAATGAGTACGGGGTGTGAGGAGGTGTAGGGAGGGGACGAGGGGAGAGGACGTGAGGAGGGGTCGTGGGGGGACGAGAGGAAGGGGATGGGGAGAGAACGTGGGGAGGGGGTGTGTGAGAAGGGGGTGTGGCTTGTGGGGGTGGGAGGGGATAGCGTGGGGAGCGTGTGTGGATGGGTCGATGGAGTGGGTGGTGGGGAGTTGGGTGTCGGTGTGGGGAGTGGGGTGTGGGGAGTGGGTGCCAGGGAGTGAGTGTGGGTGTAGGGAGTGCGTGTGGTGTGTGTGGGGGGAGTGGAGAGTGGTGAGTGTGTAGGGAGTGGAAGAGGGCGGTGGACGTGGGGGGTGGCTCACTTGAGTGCGTGCGAGGGCGTCGAGAGCGCGCGCGTGGCCCTCCGCGTTGTAGACGCACAGCGCCGACAGCAGCTCCAGCACCTGCTTCTTCACCGTCACGTTGGGCGTGTCGAGCGCTGCAACACACAAATACACCACGCTTGTTAGGGGCGGCACCTCTCACATTGCAGCGCAACACATATTAACGTATTCACATATACATACCACAAAAGAAAATAAACTCGCAATCACCTTCAGAAGGTGCGGCTGAGAGCAAGTAACGATTAAAAAGCTGTTTAAAAAACTCTGAACTAATAAAACAGACTATGGAGTACGGGTAGCCAAAGCGGCTAAGACGGGAGTACTGTAGTCCCTCGGGTTGAAGAGGAGGAGCATTGGGCTTATCTTAGGCATGGACGTATTTGTATACGAATAAATATTATAACGTATGCGTGACATGGGACATGCACGCATTGAAATAAAGAATTCTTTTCATCATGGGAATTTTTCATATATTTTTCCTCTTTAATATCAATGAGTAATATAGATGAAAGTCAAATTGTTAGACAAGCTTTAGCAGGCATTAGTTTATAGTGACTTCAACGAGATCTGGCAACATCCCTTTCAGTCTTGCAGGACGTATGATCGTTAGCACAATGCCATCACGTGATCTAATTGAAAACAAATTGAATAGTAATGAAGTACATTCGAGTGCAAGCACTCATGTCAGCATCAGCACGTTTTATAAATTAACTTACATATAATGTTTATGTTACTTATTCTTACAACCATCGCCACATGATAAAACAATATTTAATTCGAAATGTATTCACTTTTCCTTTGTATCTTCTGCGCACACTGCAATGGCTTAATCCTCTTATGTAATCTCGGTCTTAAGCTGCCATTCTGATTGAGGTTTTCCTGGGTTTAGATACCCTTGCTTGCAGCCCCCAGAAGAGAAAGTACAGTAGTTAGAGTACAAAATGTGGGCTTCACGTTGGATAAAATTTCAAATTTGGGGAATATTAAAAATTATTGTAAAAATTACCTGGATTGAAACGATCACGACCATTACTATAAATATTCTTTAATTAAAAACCAAATTGTCCGGTGAATGTGAACACTAGCGTCTAAACAATGCTTAGGATTTTTTTCCAAATTGAAAAAACCCCTATCGATCTGGCTTGAGTCGAAGCTCTGCGATTTTGAACAACATGCATTAATTTTTAGGGGTTCTTTATGTGAAACCCTTGGGATATTTCTGAATTTTCGAAAATTTCAAACGTTTGAGCTTAAAACTCCGCTTTTTCAGAAACGCTCAAATGCCATATATTAAAAAGTTTCTCCAATTTTTTAAATTTTTCCAACATATAGCGTTAATTGTACTGTTTAATGCGACGTAATGTTAATTCTGCTGTATTCTTTTTTTTTCAAAAATTATACAAATGTATTTTTTTAAATATCTCTCAGGCCTTCATTATGTACATTTGTGACTGGAAGTTGCTTTAAATTACTTTAAATAAAGTTTTTTGAAAAATCAAAAGTTTTCTATGAAGCGATCTTCAAACTTTGCATTCACAGTAACAATAAAACACCATTTTCTTAAAAACAGCTGTACATTTTTCAATGAAAAGTTCCATATAGAACGAGGTTTTACTCTCCTTGAATATTGTAAAGTAATAATTCGATTCTACTGTTAGGAACCCGAAAAATTAAAACATTAAGTATAAAAGTATTTTGGTCGCCGATAGACGACAGCTGACAAGAAAATTTGACAAGTCCGAATAGCTAGCCAAGACCATGGTCAGCTGCCATCTATCGCCGCCCAAAGTACAATTTTTGAAAAATTTCTTAATTTTTCGGCTTCCTAATAGAAGAACGGAAATATTATTTAAAGAATATTAAAGAACAGTAATACCTCGTCGTACATGGTAATATTCATTGAAAAATTTGGAGTCGTTTTTAAGAAAATGGCATTTAAGAGCTACTGTAAATTCGAAATTTGAACCTCTTTTCACAGAAAACTATTGAGTTTTCGAAAAAATTCATCTGACTTCATTTCAAACAGTTTCATCCACAAATGCAATATTGTTTACAAATCGCTGGAAATGTGCATATTAGAGCCGTGACAGATAGTTAAGAGAATAGAGTAAAAAAAATACATTTGTGTAAATTTTGAAAAAACAAATGATTATGTCATAGCAATAGCAAAATTAATTCAATGACATGCCTTACATGCCCTTAAAGAAAGAACGTACTATACATTTTATCTGAAGAAAAAATCTCTATCTTTAATTTTGTAGTTGTAGGAAGACACCGAAATAATTCATACTTTTGAAATTTTCGAAAATTCAGAGTTAACCGTAAAAATCAGACCTATGCCACTTTTATAAGTGCATGTTACTCTACATCGCAACGAACTATAAGTTTATTTTTCTCCCCATTGTTTACTTGGCTTTATTTATGACTTAAGGATTGGAACTCTTTTTCTCATTCTTCATGCATTGCGAAGCATATTCTAGTGAGCAATTTTTGACAAAGAATATTTGAATTGGTGAAAACTGGAACGGTTTAAGGGACATTTTATAAATTTTGGGAAAACTGTTTATTTAATTCAATATCACTGTAAAGTTGTGGTGGTTTGTGTCATCATTAAAACCAAAGCATTTCAATTGTTTATTAAAACCGCGAATGATATAGTCAATTCTGGTGATGGAAAAACAACAACATATTACTCCCAGAAAATTTTAAACATGATGTAAGGTTAAGAACAGCGCTCGTAATCTTACATCTTTTTATTACAATATATATTTTTCGAGAAACGTTCCATTATTTACAATAATTAACATACTTTATATTAATATCTGATATTACACGGTCATTCACAGCGTGTACATTTAACACTATTTTAATAATAAAATGATGATAAACATGTGCAATAGTTGCAACAAGGATTGTCAAACGTTCATGTTAACATTTCCACAATCATCGTGCCCTGCCAGTCCCCTCTAACTTCCACTCCGCCCGTGTACCTCCTTGCCGCAGAGTGCCCCGTCGTCGTCCGAGCACCGGGAGCGACCGCGGCCAAGAACGCCGTCCTCGAGCGCCGCCTCGGCGAGGCGAGCCCGGCACAGATATGAAGTATTAATTGCACGAGTTCCAGCAGCGATCAACACGGGAACATTCGTTTCAATTACTTCGCGCGAAGCATTCTGCGCGGCTCCGGCATCGCATGGATTATTTATAACGCCCATTGTTATTGTAATTTGTTAGCCCATTGTCCGACAGCGCCGCATTGCCTTCAACGTCTCCCTAATTAACCGGGAAGGCGGGCAATAAAGAGGACGGCGTAAGAAGCGAGAGTGACGGGGACGAGAATTAAGAGCGCGAGCGAGGAAAACAAACGCGGAGAGAGAGACCAGCCGCCAGACCTGCGAGCTAGTGAGGTGGCGTATGCGGAAGAGGCCGCAATAGAGATTCCGTGATGCATGCAGTAGACGTTGAAGCGCTGCAGACCGGGAATATGGAAAGCAAAGCTCGGTAATGTGGTTTTGAAAAATCTGGGAGCTGGTCGTACAGAAAAGTGCAGCGTAAGTCTCGATTCGTTTGGTAGGCTCCAACGTTGCACAATCCGTAGAAGTTGAATTACATCAACATGATAGAAACTGAATCAGAAAAATGACCTTCTAATATATAGGATCTAGTCCGACAAGTATAATGAAAATGCGATAGCTAGGTGTGCTTAAACCTTTCTGCGGAGTAGCATGCACATTATTATATGATTTATGACTAGCACATCAGTCAAATATGAAACAATAATTGAAGATAGCAATCACTTCACGTGTTCGAACGAACGAGCTGTTTATACTACCTTCATCGAGCAGACTCTCTCTCTCCCCCATTACTTAAGATCAGTAACTCATTTATAACCAATTTACTCTAGCATAAAGTTCAGATGGTTTTTCAGTGCTAGGTTAATCCGCAAACCAATTTCACCTGGAACCGAACCAAGAACAACGTACACAGAAAGTGAGAATGTAGGTCTTTCAGGTCGGGCGAGAAACTAGGACGTCGCAAAGAGGGAGACATACGGACAGGGAGCGGAAAGAGGGAGACGAGACTTAGGGAAGACACGGAAAATGTAGAACAAAAGGAGACAATGACGTCAGCGAAGACGGCGATAGAAGCGATGGCGAAATTAGACGGCTGCTTTGTGGCCTCGGTCAAGCCAGAGAACAGTGAGCCCACGGCCCCAAGGCACAGAGCAAGGGGAGGCTGGAGCTATTAAAACTGTCAGTGTGATTCATTGGTATCTTTTCGTGGCGCCATTCACGTCATTCTCAAAGCCCGTACTCGCTAATAAAAGATCAGGAAAATATGTAACACCTAAAAGACTTAAAGTAACTAAAAATCCTTGTTATGCAGGAAACATTGGTTGCAGGTTATATATCTCTGACGCAATGTACACGAGTACAAGTACACATGTACACACACATGTACAAGTTATTTACAAACGTTTCCTCCTTTGTAATGTTAATGGATTATTTTCTTCTCAAACTGCAATCGCAATAACTACAAAACTGATGTCTTATTATAAGATAACATTACTGAAAGTTATCATAATCAAAAAAGTGTTTGATCTTGTAGCAAAAATAACTAGAATCAAGCTTTAACAGTCAGTGCATATCTAAAAATTTGTTAAAAATACTTTAAAATATAATTTTATTTCAAAGAAGAAATCGACACGTTTCACGAAAGCGTTCATTAAATAAGCACTAAAATGAACGCTGATTGGCGTTTATATCCCAGTGTTAAGAAACAATAAAACATAATTAGACATGTTTCAACACTATAAATCAGTGATCATTTGACCGTAAAAGAGAGAAAAAATAATAAAATAAGATTTCAAGATTTCATTGTATTCATGGGCTTTCAAAAATACACGAATGTGTAATGATGACAAAAATGTCTCATAAGTAGCGAATGAATTAGAAAGTGAAAGGATGCAATAATAAGAAAACATCTACACAAGCGTTTGTTAAGCGTTCATATATTCTACAGATATTGTTCATGTAGTGTACGTTCACATATCGCAGGTCTAGAATCGTAAGTTTTCTAGCAGGAGGACCGTAGAGAG